AGCAAAACGGTCAATCTTGTAGTGGTGTACAAACGGAGAAGGCGAGGACCATGTTGCAGCCCTGCAAATCTCCTCAATGGACGCCTGAGTGGCCCAAGCCGCAGAGGTTGCAGCACTGCGAGTGGAATGGGCAGTGAGATGACTTGGAGATGGCAGGGAAGAAGACTGGTACGCTTCCGCAATACAATTCCGTATCCACCTGCCGATGGTGCTAGCGGAAACTTTCTGCCCCATGGTAGTCAATCGGAAGGATATAAAGAGGGCTTCTGATCTACGGAATGGCACAATCAATAGTTGGCACAATCAATAGTTGGGATCAGTAAATCACAATAACTGATTGACAGCCCCCATTTCCCCCTGCTGCTTCCTACTGCTCAGGGCTCGTGGACACAACGGCCTTGTTAGCTACCCTACATAGGCTGCACGGCTGCCATTTTGAGCTCACGGCCACCATTTTGAACATGTTGTGGGCCGCAACCAAGGAGGTGTTATAGCCAACAAATACCCAAGGCAAGAACTAGGTCATCCTGCATCCAATTACCTCTGCTTCTCTAGTGCAACCGTTTCTTGTCCTGGCCACCAAACGACTTATTGGACTGCATCCCAGTTGGTTGTCAGCACCTCTGACACAGTTTATTCCAACGGGCGGACGCACGATCCTCCTCGTCACCTTCTAGTCATTTTGAAGGCACTGAGTTACCGGTCAGGTGGCCAGGGGAGCAGAAGAATTCCCCGCTCCAGCAGCTATACCCCAAAGCCAGTAGATCTCCTGCCAGGGCTTCCTCTCAGTGCTCCCTGAGATAGCTGTTTTTCAGGATGGAGGACTCCACGGTGTCTGAGTTCAGGACCATCGCGTCCCATCAGTGGGCCAAAACAGGCACACTCCCTCCAATCAGGAGGCGGCAGGCAGGATCAAGGCTAAAGCGAAGGCCATATCCAAAAAGGCCTCTAAAAGGACGGAGAAGCAGGAGAGCAGGAGGCACCAGGCGCTGGAGAAGGAGTTCTCCAGAGCACAAAGGCAGGCCAGAGAAGAGGCTGAACTGGCAGGGGCCCCGGAATTCGACTTCCCCCTGAGGCCTTCCACCTCTGCTCAGGGGGTATGGTCCCTGCAAGACCACCTAATTGCGCTTTCCCCACCTGCTGGGGCGAGTCAGGCACCAGAGGTCACCTTCACCCCTACAGCGGGTGGGGCTAAAAGGGATAGACCCTCAGGTCCCCCCCAGATGATTATCTTGAAGCCTTGATCTCACAGGCGGTGGATAAGGCCCTTGTTGCGTGATCCCACCGCTTGTCAGGGATGGAGCCAATGGCAGCCGTACCCACAACATACGTTCCCCAATCAGGGACTCCTATGTACCACGGTCCCCCCTCCCCTTCCCGATCTTCTATAGCGGGGCCTCTTCGCCCGTAGATCTAGACCAGCTAGATATTACATAAGAGGAGGAGGATACTCCAGAACCCCCTCCGACGGGGGTTCTGTTCAATCCGGCCCTCTTTGTTCCGCTCCTGCGCAAGGCCAGTGTGACGGCCAACATAGGTCCTCCCCAACAGGACTTCCTGTCCACTTCGGACGTGAATCCGATGTTTTTTGAGATGGTGGCGACACAGCATCAGGTTCCTTGCCCATCCCTGTTTCTAAGCGCCGTTCGCAAACAGTGGTCTTTACCAGGCACCTTCCCACCTCCGGTTCGACCTGTGGTAAATTAAATTGATTAGACATGATTTGGAAAGGCACGCATCTCTCTGTAGAAGGCCTCACAGCTGACGATGCATACTATGGCAGAGCAAAAGCCACGAGGTCAAAGGAACTGCCTGCAGAGCTCAGAGACAGGATTATTGCAAGGCACAGATCTGAGGAAAGCTACAATAAAATTTCTGCTATACTGAAGTTTCCTAAGAGCACAGTAGCCTCCATAACTCTCAAATGGAGGAAGTTTGGCACAACCAGGACTTGGAAGAGTCAAACTGAGCAATTGAGGGAGAACCCGATGGTCACTCTGACTGAGCTTCAGAGATCCTGTATGGAGATGGGACAGAATTCCAGAAAAGCAACCATCACTGCAGCCATCACTGCAGCCCTCTACTGATCTGGGCTTTTATGGCAGAGTGGCTAGCCTCTCCTCAGTGCAAAACAGATGAAAGCCCGCTTGAAGTTTGCCAAAAAAAAAAAAAAAAAAAAACCCACCTGAAGGACTCTCAGATTGTGAGGAACAAAATTCTCTGGTCTGATGAAACCAAGATGAACTGTTGGGCCTCAGTTCTAACATTATGTCTGGAGGAAACCAGGCACCACTCATTACCTGCCCAATATCACCCCAACAGTGAAGCATGGTGTTTTTTTAGCAGCAGGGACTGAGAGACTGGTCAGGGTTAAGGAAAAGCTGAATGGAGCAAAATACAGAGGTATCCTCAATAAAATCCTGTTCCATAGCTCTCAGGACCTCAAGACTGCACGGAAGTTTCATTTTCAACATGACAGCGATCCTAAGCATACAGCCAAGACAACACAGAAATCGCTTAGGGACAACTCTGTGAATGTCCTAGAGTGGACCCGCCAGATCCCTGACTTGAACCCTGTTGAATATCTCTGGAGGGACCTGAAAATGTCTGTCCACTGACGGTCACCATCCAACCTGACTGAGTTGAGAGGATTTGCAAGGAAGAATGAGAGAAAATCCCCCAATCCAGGTGTGCAAAGCTTGTCGCGTCATACCCCATTGCTGCCAAAGGTACTTGAACAAAGTACTGAGTGAAGGGTCTGAATACTTATGCCAATGTGATATTTCCGCTTTTTCTTTTTAATAAATTTACAGGTATTTCTAAACTTCTGTTTTCACTTTGTCATTATAAGGTACTGAGTGTAGATTAATGAGAAAAAATGAATTTCAACAGCTGTAGAATCAGGTTACAGCATAACAAAATTGACGCAAGTGAAGGGGGTCTGAATACTTTCTGAATGCACTGTAAATTTAATAAATAATATTACAGCACAAAATTTCTAGTAAAAACATTTTTGCCTGCCACTTTGCCATCCCTGCATTTACCAGTAGATAAGAAGAAGTCAGGCAGAGAATTTGCCTTTTTAAATATTCACCCACACCAATATATGTGATTGATTCTTACACTATACTCCAATTTAATTAGAATAATTCTAAATAAGAGATTATGGAACATAGTAAAATCTATCATCTATCAGTTCTATTGAGACTATTTTGAATATGATTGTTCTTTAGATCAATTTTCTTTTATTAGCATTTGCATTCAAGAGACAAAAATAGAATGTCTTAGATCAAAAATCTGTCTTTAATCTATAATGTTTGTTTTTCATAAAGACCTATTGCAGATTAGAATTCTAGAAGTAAGTGGCTAGTCATTTGGTTTTTCCCTTTGGTTCCCCCCCTTCTTCTAGTGGAGTTTCTACATTGTCACTTAAAAAGAACATGACCCGGATTTAAATAACCACATTCCAAAGAACTCTAGACATGGGGGAAAAAATGATCCTGTGCAATTCCCATATTCTCCACTTTATCAATGGTTGTCAACTTCATCAGAAACTGATTCTGGAGATTGTCCCCTCCCCATAATTGATGTTGGTAATGCATCACACACATAGTGTGATAGTGCAAAAGTGTGTTTATGAGTATCTGCCAAAAGCCATATCCCAAAAAGAACCTAAAACTGAATTAACAACTACTGATTAAAATTAATTAGCTATAAAATAAAGCACCTCATTTTAACATTGGTTTTTCTGCTATATATGTCTATCTATTTCAATACAAACCACTCTATATCAGGGACACAGAAAGACTACAGTGCACAGACAAAACATTCTTTGTTCAAAAAGTAAAACAGGTAGAATATAAATGGGATAATAAATGATTTAAAAGAAAGGGATCATTTTATTGGGAAGAAAAAAGTGGTCTAATATGGGTATTATCAGGACAAAGAAAGGGAGAGAAGAATGAGAAACAACATAGATTACAAAATAGATTAAAATTCATAAAATGGATAGGCTTTTTCTTCAGGAAGAATATGTCGCTCATTCTTCAGCAATGATGTGGATGTAGTTATTTGTACTTCGTTTCATTCTTTTGCTTTAAACAATGAATGGTAATAAGAGGACTAGATTCGCAGATAATTTACTGAGGAGGAACCACATATCTTCCCATTATGCATATACAATTTTTAATATACTAACTGCACTTAGCAATGTTGTGACCAAATATAAGGATTTGGAAAACTCAATCAAACATAAAACTAGTATGTAAAGTCGTATGATGATGGTGATGGGAATATTGTAGTAATTTGTTGCTCTACAAAAAATGATGAATGTTGTTTTTATAATATGCTACAAGCTTAGAATAAGAATCACAGTAATAGATTTTGTAGATCAGATTACAAATCATGTTCCATTTGCACAGTTATTTTTTTTTTCAAACAATTCTGTGCTATTTTCTTAGCTATATACAATGTAAACCTGGACAAAAGCAACAACAACATTTCAATATACTTTACTCCTCTGAATGTCCTGTAAAAGTGTCCAACCAGTGTGGATTGACTGCCCTCTTGGATTGATTACATTTTATTTGCAATTTGGTGTATAGAAAGTGTATGCTGAAGATATAGGTGTTGTACATCCTCATTGAAAAATAGACCTGGCTTTTTTTAATGCATTGTAGAAGAGTTACACTAAACCTCTAAGACTATCATAAAATATGTATGAGATTGATAGATTTGTGAGGGTTAGGGTTAAACAGAGAGTACACCTCACCTCCTCCTATCACTGATGATGTTGTCTAGTTTGGTAATAAAATGTTTACAAAAAAACAACCAAGCACAGACAGCACTAAGGACCCCACAGTTCAGCCCTAAGCTACAAATATTCTTTTCTATTGATAGATTTGGCTGCATGTAATCATTCTAATTCCTTTTTAGAATTTACTTTATGAAAGTCAGTTCAGCTAACAAATTGTGACAAAATGTTTTTTCTTTTTATTAAGGGAGTAACTATTCCCAGTCAGAGGCGCTATGTATATTATTATAGCTACCTGTTAAAGAATCATCTGGATTACAGACCAGTAGCACTGCTGTTTCATAAAATGATGTTTGAAACAATTCCAATGTTCAGTGGCGGCACTTGCAGTAAGTAACATTTTAAGCAGTCATACTATCTGGAATTATATGCAATGTTTGTATATTACTTACTAAAAAATGAAATCCGTATAAAGTACTATTAAATAATTCTGTCTTCTCCAGTAGAATATTAAAAAGTCACTAGTTTGATAAAATAACCTTCCGCATTCTTGGAATATGTATTTCTTAGACTTTTTATCCCTCACTTTTTTTCTGGCAAGTTTTTTCCTTTACCCTCTTTTCCCTTCACCTAATTTATTTTGAGTGACCATGACAATATAGATAACATCTCCTTACTTTGATTTTTCCATATTTTCCAGAGATAGGTGAGATTCCAGAATTCAATTTGATTCTTCTGTAACTTTTGCCCTCACATTTTGGTTTGCCCGGCAGAATATCCAGCACAATTGATTCAGGGTGTATCATGAATGTGATTCTAACATCCTAATGTAGCATAAGGTTGTCTAAAAGAATATTGGGAATTCAGTCAGCCTATTGTGGGTTGTTCACTGCAGATGCACAGCAGCACTAGTGATAGAAATTTGTTATGCTTCTTCTGGTTGGAGATACTCATTTTAGTATGGCAAGAATACTATGTCTACAATCCTTATTTATTTAAAAATAGTATAGTATAATAATACAAGACATGACATGGCATAACATGTAATATTTATATAAAGGTTGCTTCCATCTCTCTTAAGTCACAGGCTTTTTTTTAAATGCCCTAAAGATTTCACTTAATTATAGCTTGTCCTTGATTTTAGCATATCTACTGGAATAGATAATATAATAAACTTTTTAAAAACTAAAATCAGTACTTAAATTGCTATATACAGGTAGTCCTTGACTTACAATAGTTTGTTTAGTGACTGTTCAAATTTGGAACGGCACTGAAAAAAATGAATGTTTTTTCACACTTACAACAGTTGCAGTACTCCTGTGGTCACATGATCAGAACCAGATGTTTGGCAACTGACTTACATTTATGACAGTTGCAATGTCCTGGGATCATGTGATCACCTTTTGTGATCTTCTCACAAGCAAAGTCAATGGGAAAGCCAGATTCATTAACACCTGTGTTACTAACTTAACAACTGAAGTGATTCATTTAACAACTGGCAAAAAATGTAAAATGGGGCAAACCTCACTTAACAAATCTCGCTTACTTAGTAACAGAAATTTTGGGCTAATTCGAGGACTACCTGTACTTGTTTTCCGAGTAAATTTCATTTAGTTAAATTAAACTTGCTTTCGAATGAACTTAGATGTGATTTAGTTTTACTTTTTAAATTGCCAATCACATCATGAGTGAAAACTTCCTATACTTTCTACCAACCGAGGTCATTAAGATGATATTACTCACAATTATATGTCCTGATCACGTCTTTGACATTATAAGATGGTATAAATAACTAAGCACTACAGTCAGTTTACAGATGATAACTATAAGTCAAATATAAAATATGATAAAACAGTTGCTTATCTGCAGTTATAAAATTATATTAAATCTGTCATTTTCTCTCAAGGGACATTTTGGCAAGAGGAAGGGCAACAGAATGAATGCTCCTAACATTTTCCTTTCTCATTTATTTATTTATTTATGAGACTTATATACCGCTTTAAGTGCAAGCACTCTCTAAGCCAGTGGTTCTCAACCTGTGGGTCGGGACCCCATTTGGGGTCAAACGACCATTTCATGGGGGTCGCCAAACAAGGCTGTCCGCCATTTTTTCCCCCTTTTCTTTGGCCATGCCCCTGGCACCCGGTGATGTATAAATGGTTGGGGGTCACCACAACATGGGGAACTGTATTATGGGGTCGCGGCATTAGAAAGGTTGAGAACCACTGCTCTAAGCGGTGTACACCAGTAAGCAATGTATATATATATATATTTACATTGCCCCCAACAATCTGAGTCCTAATTTTACCTACCCCGGAAGGATGGAAGGCTGAGTCAACCTTGAGCTGGTGAGATTTGAACCACTGACCTGCTGAACACAGTCAGCTAAAGTGGCCTGCAGTACTGCACTCTAACTGCTGTGCCACCTCGGCTCTCATTGTTTTTTGCTGGCTCGCATGTACACTCCTCCACTCCTGAGCTCCATTTAATGACCTGTACTTGGAGAGCAGGGATATCTGGTTGTTACATGAGGTAGTTCATTTAATGTTTGTCCTAACTTCCAATCCTAATGGGCAGGATCGTTAAGACTACATATATAATATCTTTCTATGGAAGGTAAATCTCATGTCAGTTCAACTTTCATTTTGTGCTGAGTTGATGTGGAAGCAACAGGAACAGTTTGGAGTTTTTCCTGGTTGTTAATGTAGGATTGATATAACTATAGCATAATGTAAGCAATACTAGATATTCTTGTCCTAAAGTCTTTTTAAAATGTTTTTTTTTTTTTTGCTTACTGTTACAATTCTTTTAGAACTAAGATAGTTCTTTAATCTCATTGTGTAAAAATTGTTTTATTGCACAGATCCTCACTTTGTAGTCTACCAGCTTAAGGTAAAGATATTCACCTCCTCTTCAGGACCTACAAGACGTGAAGACAAATATATGTACTTTGAATTCCCTCAGCCGTTGCCAGTATGTGGTGATATCAAGGTGGAATTCTTCCATAAGCAAAACAAGATGTTGAAAAAGGTTTGTTTTTTTAACTTGATAACATGTTTGGTTTTTAATTCTAAGTGCTAAATTTATTCACCCTCTCTTCATTTATTTCAGGCATTTCCCTTGAATTTCAACAAATCTGAGAGGTTCATGCTTTTACTATCAGTGCTGCTGAGTTTAGGTGAAAAACAGAAGCATATGTGTAATATTTATCCACTTTCTGTTGTTTGAAATGTTTTGGAAAGCCACTAAAGGAGGACTCTTTCTGTTTTATATTTCATGAAATTTCCATGTTACAACTTTAATGTGGAGCATATGACGTTTCCAACCTTTTAGAATAAACAACTGCTGCAATATTTTAGCTTATTTACAAAATCTAAAAGGATTGCTGTTTTATAATTAGATGAATTTGAGAGAAAATACTCTTAGTTATTTGCTCCTGTATAAATGTCCAACTATTGCAGCGGTTCTGCAAAATTTCAGCAGAAAATTTTTATGTAACAGCAGTATATAAATTGGTTTTTCATAAGTCACATTTATACATAAAGAGGTCAGTAGAATGGGACTTGCTTGAAGCAAAGTGAAAAGACACAACCAGTCCTCTACTAGAATAAACTGATTTTTCTTTTTCAGACTGATTCTGGAAGGGGAAGTGGCAGACCTTATGAAAATTGGTTGATTTTAGTGATCAGGTTGCAAGACAAAGTCTACAGATAGTTGAATCTAGAAAAGAGTTTTAGAGTTCCCTTTGGGATCATATGCTCCTCAAAATTATTCCTGAAGGGTCGAAAGACCCTGCGGAAGGCAGGAGATTTCAGCAGGACGATTGGCAGAATTGCCTTCTGCTTGTGCAAGAAACCTGGATCCCAACTAAGGATAAATACCATGTGAGGTAAATCTTCCTGGCATCTGATCAGACTTTCCAGATGAGTCTTTATCTGACCATTTTCTTGTATAAAGAGGGAAACAAAATCAGATGTCACAAAGTGAATCTTGTGAAGATTGTAGGATTTGTGAAGATTGTAGGATTACTTAGGATTCCTTCTGGAAAGGATTGAAAAAAAATGTAATTGCTGCTTTAGGACTTCTAAAAGTGTCTCTACACGTGTAGGATGATTTTGCTAGAATAACTAGTAAAACAGTGACAGCTTTTGTTGATTGTTCCAGTAGAAATGACTCCATTAATATTTATACATAGCTCCCCCTTTATCTCAGGGAACATTTTAAAGTATCTTTTCATTTTGAACCAGGAAATATAGAGATAACTGTTCTATCCCTTCTTTCTCTAGCATCTTCTGTTTCATTGCTCTCCTTTGTATTTATTAGGTCTCTCCTCTAATTGGCCAGTCAAACTCTGTCATTGGATTATAATTGGGCTGTTTTGCTGGGATCCCCGCTTTTTTGGGGGGGGGTTCCTTGAAAACACCACTTCTGAGACCTTCCAGATGTATATTGGGTGATGCAACTTTGTTATAGTCCGATTAGCATGGAATGGGTCTATCTAAACAGATGGATGGACCTTTGTTTGTAGAAAATGAAAAAAAAAACACCTTGAAATGGAATCTGCTGCCTTTTAGACTTTACTACAAAAAATATACACTGTTAAAGATATAAGAAATTAACACATTAGGTTTATGCCCTGTGATGGATATGTATCAACTTAAATTTTTAATTTAAGTAGGAGAATTTTTAAGATATTTAGATCTAGCTTTGTTTTAAATATTTTAATAACTGTAAACTACCCTGAGTCACTGGGAATCAAGTGGCATATGAATTTAATAAATTATTATATACATAACAACATGGAATAACTGCTGCTAGTTCTTTAGTTGATGTTGGCCTTCATTCATATTGAGTTCTTTTCAAGAACCTAGGACAGGGGTGTCAAACTCAATTTCACTGAGGGCCGCATCAGCATTGCGGTTGCTGTGGGGGGGGGGGCAGGTGGGTGTGGCCAGAGTGGGTGCAGCCTACTGGGTGGGCGTGGATAGAGTGAGTGTGGCCTACTGGGTGGGCGTAGTCAGTTCTACATCATTCGCATCAAGGGTGCCTATGGGGGCCTAGGCAGGAGTGGGACAGATCTGAGGGTCTCTGGCAGAAGAGGGTGGGACTGGGGCAAGTGCCAAAGCATGGTCCACCAAGGCAAGTGCCAAGATGGCCACCACAAAATTGTACATTGGCTCCTGGCCGGCCAGGGCCAAGGCAGTGGGGGCTGTTCCCTCACTGTTTCCAGGATGGCTTCGCGGGCCACATGAAACCACTTTGTGGGCCGCATCCAGCCCCAGGGCCTTGTGTTTGACATGTCTGACCTAGGATGTCATAATGTATTGACATAGTATATGTGTGGACCAAAGCACTGTGGCTTTTTATAATTGACAGTAGAAATTTTGTCAATATCCAGATTTTTATCTGTCAAGGTTTTTTGGTGTAGCACCCATAAATAATAATTATGATATATAATAAATTATTATGGTTCATCGCACAGTCAGTGGTTTATATTGGATTTGGCATTTTTTATGCACTTATTGAGTCCTTCACAAGAACCTGGAGTAGACAGATGCTGTTGGTTGATGCTGTTAAAGGTATCGTCTCAGGATACAAGGGTTCAAAGCATAGTTGTCTTTTGTAAATGACTGATGGTGATTTTGTCAATGCCAATGATGTTCAAGTTGTGCTCCAGGTGTTTTGGGATTGCCTCCAAGACATCTATTATTATTGGTACTATCATTGCTTTTTTTGACACAGTAATTCTATTTTCAGGCTTTAGTATTTTGTGATTTTCTTCAGTTATTTCTCTTCAATACTGCTTTTTCTGAGTACTGCCACATCCACTATCCAGATTTTTTTTGTCTTTCTTATCGACAATCTCGGGTGTTGTGTGGCAGGTGCTTATCTGTTTGAATTGTAACATCCCAGGGCACTTTAGCTTTTTCAGTTTCTATCACTTTGTCTATTTTGTGGTCCCATTAGTTGTTGCTTGCAAGCAACTGGTATTTGTTGCAGATCTTCCAATGCACCATTGTTGCTACGTTGCCATGCCAATTATTTATAGCAGTGGCCCCAACCTTTCCCAGTTGCCAGCCTGGGGGGGGGCATATGAGTGGCAGGTGTGTTTGCATTCAGCTCCATTTGTGCGAGTGGTACACATGCATGCCCTTCACTCATGCAAGCGGCAGGTACTTGTGCATGAAGTTCCACTTGTGTGTGCAGAGGGCGATTGCATGCAAAGTTCCATTTGCGTGAATGGAGCTTCGCATGTGAGCATAAGCACCCTCCACTCATGCAAGTGAAGCTTCCTGCATGAGCACAAGCACTCTCCACTCATATGAGTGAAGTGTCGCGCTCATGCTTGCCCACCACTCGCATGAGTGGAGCTTCACATGTGTACGCTTGCTCATTTCTCCCACGGTCTGGTTTAGAACAGGCTGTGTCCTGGTAGTGGGCTAGGGATTGGGTTTATAATCAGGCTATGGCATCTTCTTGTAGCAGCTAACTAGGTGACCACTGTTTCTTTAGCTCAGGCCCTTTTATGACCTGTGGACTTCAACTCCCAGAATTCCTCAGCCAACGCGCCTGGTTGAGGAATTCTGGGAGTTGAAGTCCACAAGAGTTAAAAAGACCAAGTATGAAGACCCCTGCTTTAGCTCTTTTGCAGAGCTGGCATTTGCTGGCTATAGCTGTCTTCCTAATTCTGGCTTGGTATGCATTTATTCTTGTGAAATGAATTAACTCCTCTCTTTTTTCAACTTTCCTGCTCTTAGCCATTGTCAAGTCTTGCTATTTGCTTGGCCTACTTTTTTTTTTTTTAATGTACTGGCTATCTAATACTTAGCCTTGTCATATCTCTTGTTTATTCTTCATTTCGTTTTTTTTTTCTTTATTATTTGTTCACAATGTGAAGTCCCAGCTGCCAGTTTATTAGCTGGTGTTGACTTTCATATGGATTTATTATTACTAATGATGAATAGGTATTTTGCACAATATCTTTTCATGTAATAATATGCATCTTAAAATATAAATAAAGAGAAGCAAAAGGAAGACATATAGAGACAAGAAGTATAAAACAAAATAAAAAAAATAGATCAAGTTAAAAATGGGAGACGTAATTAAGCTCTTTTCTGTAAATATTAATGGATTAAATATATCAAGAAAAAGAGTTTAGACGTTTAACAGTTTAAGGAAATTGGATGTAGATGTGATGTATCTTTAGGAAGTTTACATAAAATAGGATTATAGAAAGTTATTAGAGAAAGTAAAATTTAGAAACATTATACACAATATTAGCATAAAACAAGAAAGGAGGAATTATTATATACGTCAAAGAAAAATAAAATTAAATAAATATACTTGGATGAAAAGGGGTGAATTTTAATGTTGGAAATAGTATTAAAAACAGTATATGAACTAAATAATATGAGAATATTTGTATGATCACCATGCTTAGATGGAATTCTGGTCGAGTCTTATAAAAAATATGAGTGTTACTACAATGAATAATGTTGGATTCCTAGTAAGTAGTAGAATATGAAAGAAGGAAAATGTAAATAAGAAACAATGGGGCAATAAGGACAAATATTTCAAAGAAGAAAGAGGGGGGAAATGTAAAGAATAGAAGAGTACTGTTACAAACTGCTGTTAACAAAAAAGGATATATTACTGTGTATGTGTGTAATGTTTGTTGTGTTTTGTTTTGTTTTGTTGGTCTAAAATAATAATAATAAAAAAATAAAATATAAATAATTTCATTGACTTGAAAAATAGCAATTAGAGAAAAGGCATTTTGAATCAAGCAAATATATGAATTGATAGGGATAAGAAGTAGTGGGAAATAGTAAATATATTTGCTAGCTAGTATAATGTAATGCTCTACATTATTTGGGCAATGTGGAGTTGAAAAATTATAAATAACAAAAACAAATCTATCAAACATAATAAAATTGAATAATACATAACATAATAGCGTATGCACATTTCTTCCTCAATAAGAGAAACACCAATGTTTCTCAACTTGGCGACTTTAAGATATGTGGACT